AAATATAAAGGTATGTGTCAATCAAGATATATGCAAGAACAGGCTTAATGATTAATTAGATGAAACATTGTGAGTGTGGTGTACACTTTGTAATAATTCTTTAGTATATTACTTGTGTGATGTATTAATGCTAACACTGTTATAATCTTTTTTTAGTATAATATGTGTGTGGGCAGAAGTGAATCATTCACTGATTGCAAACCAATGATGGTAAGATGATGTCATGGGGTAGGACTGGATAAGTCTGACTTCTTCCTACTCCATTCAAGCATGTACTAGGTATAAGCAAATTGATATTGGATTATGTGTAAAGTTATGTGTGTTGTCATATCAACTGTTTTACATGCTTGAAAGAATAAATCAAATCAACCTGCAGAGAAGCAATAACGTAAGCTTTGCCCGTAGTCTGTCATCCACCGCCACAAACTACAGCGAGCTTGTTAAGATACTATAATAGCTAATTGTTAAGTAAAAGCCGGAAGGAAAGATGACAGATGGATGGATGTGGCTGCATCACAGTGTGCCAACAGACTGGGTTATTCATCAGGTTATGACAGGCAATACTGTTAACCTGAAGTAGCAACGATTCATTTGTAAACTAAATATAGGGTAATAAGTAATTTTCTCTTAACCGTCAATCACATGTACGTAGATGGAATACTTAATTTGTTATGCAGTTGAATCATATAGGCTGCAAGAAAACCTACAGATACAATACTGTTTTGTTGTTGTTCAACAAATCCATGACGTTTACTAAGTCACTAATTGTATTAATTAATTGTGTTAAACAATCATGAGCTCAATATTGACCAAAATACAGTACATATAGCATCACTATAATCTGTTAGAAAATAGCACCAGCACAAATGAACATCAGTCAACAAAAAGGCCATGAACACTGTGGCAGAAGCAACATGGACATAAATCAATAACTAAACAGTCAGAGGAATGGAGCACATAGCTGTACTGTACAGGCAATATAAACAGCAAAACGTGCAATCCAACAACTATTATGGGCTAATTCAAAACAGGGAATATACTGTATGTGCAGTTTTGAAAACAATCTAATATAAACAAACAGCTGTGCTGCTACATGGTAACTTGCAATCAATTATCCTAGGCACAGTCTCCCTATAATCTATGAGAAAATAGCACACGCCATAAAAAATAACCAACAATAAAAGGAAAAGCTGGGACACTGACACAGACATAAACCAGCTTTGGCAATTCACCTCTCAACAGTATAGTGAAGCGTGTTTCTGTAATATCACACATGCATATGTATCTGTAGCCGTACAAGCCAAACAAATATCATCGCGAGTGCAACAATAATGAACGCGCACTTCAGCTGAGCGAGCGTGTACATTTGTAAACACCACAACTAATGTAAACACACAAGACTGTGCTTACGTGACATCACTGTAACTTGCAACTCATCATCAGCGAGTAGTGAAATGACTGTACTCACCCATTTGAACAACACTGTGGTGGCATTGCACTGTGCAAAGTTATGCACGATCAGTCTTGGTCAAATTTCTTGGCTTTTTAATTCTCAAATGTGGAAAAGTCCATCGTGGCGCCACAGTGTTGAAGGAAGAGCCGCTGTGCAGCTACGGCGTCCTCTTTGTTGTTTTAGCTCATTACCATTCGCTCAAGGACGCAGAACAAACACGGAAGAACCCAGGTTCTTCGGTTTTAAACGTTGTATTCCGAGTCTCGCTTTTGCCTTCGTCTGTCCCTGGCAGTCTGAATGAAGCATTTTCCCGAAGCTAGACTTGTACATTAGTGAATGCTAGGGGTGTGTGTTTGATTTTTATAACTTTGCCTGCCTGGGTGGTGCAAATCTTAAACATATGAGGAGGTACAATTGCGATAACCTTAATGGTAGCACGTAATTAATCCCTCAGCTGACTTTGCATTGTTTTACAATATTTATTTACATTATATGTGCTTGTGCGTTGTCCCGAGGGCCTGCCCGTGCCGCCAGGTGATTGCGCGTGCCCCCACATGATGGCGCGTGCCCTCTAACGCTACGTGGCGTTCTAAATATAAAGTCACTTGACGTTTCCATTCTCCGAAGTAAAGAAAAGAATACAGTGTTCCAACATAAACAGTAAACACTTATTCTTGTTATAATTATAGAGCATCTACACTCACAAAAGTTGTGATTAAAGAAGAGGCTACATATGCTACAGAGTATATAGCCAATTCATAATCTTTAAATGCCATGCTCATATTCTCCAGTACTATGCAACTATGATTTGATTTGATTTTCATATATGCTTATATGTAATATGAAATAATTATTGCATCATATTGGAGCTGAAAAACAGTTTGCAGTGACGATAAGTGTTATAACACTCGTACCATTTTTAATTCAGCACCATATGAGATTTGTCCTGAGGACTATGCAGTGTCAATGGTGTGGAGACGGACACCTTCAGGAGAGCTGGCCTTTAATAGATGTCCACCCAATGCCACAGGTAAGGATGAGCTATCTTCAATTTCTTATTTTATTGTTTGTTATGTTAACTGACTTTGTAAATTGTATTCGTGTAATGTCAATTGAGAATTCCATAGATGAATTTGGGCTTGTTGTCTTGTGTTTATTTGACTTTGTGACCCAAAGTGTGTGCAGGTGTAAGGAGAACTCCTCCAATAAAATGATGGCGATGTACAGCAGATTCACCATTTGTATGTGATTGACCTAAATTAGACTTATTTTCAAAGAATGGCTGTTTAAATCAGACTGATTTACCAAAAAGGGCAACTGTCACTTTACAGTGGTAGAATTACCCTGCACTTTTACACTATTGTTATGGCATCCAATTTAATACACATCATGATGATAGCAATTTTGCTAGTTTATAAGGAAAAATGCTAGAATACTGTTACAATAGGCTGTGCTTTAGTGTATCTACAGCACAGAGCATGCCTTTTGCTTTTTAACTTACTGGCATATTTTCGCATGGTGTATAAATTCAGGAAATGATGAAAAAAATTATATCTGGTTCCCAAACTTTACACTCCTGAGGAGAAAGTATTCAAGGAGAACGCACTCATCCCTTCATCTCATTTCCACATGCAGTGATGTAACTCATGCCTTTACCCGTCAGCGCATAGCTTGTGTACTGGATAGAAAAAAATAGCAACTCTGAGAATCTCAGAGCATTCTTGAAGAAAAACACACTGAGGTCCACTTTCAGATGTTAAGCAGACGTTTTTATATGAGCACGGAGAGAAGAGCATTAGAGCAGAAGATGCAAGTTCTCTAACAGGGCGAGATTGACACTCAGCTCTTGAAAAGAAGAGAAAGGAGGGGGAAGATGGAAAGGGATAAAAAGCAATGCAGCTCCTGATAAAGATGCTGTAAAGATGCCATGCCTTTGTTCTTGCTGAAGGTCAATTTGCAAAAGACAGACAGCAGGACAATGAAGCACTGCTGGGTGCTAAAGTTACACATTGGTTTGATGCTGTAAGCTGTTGTAAAACTATAAAGAGTATAGGGTTCTGAAGTGGCATTTCTTTTACAACCATAAAATGGCTAACTGGCAAACTAGATGCAGTAGCTAACACGCTGTCATTTTCAGATGGCTTACCTGCGGCAGAGTAAGATTTAGTAGCATGACATTAGCTTTCCAGCTTGACATTATAGTTTTATGGTTAATAAGGGTTTGGCACTACAAAGCTCTTTCCTGCCAGGGCTGTTTATGTTTTTTTCTTTTTCTTCTTCTTCTCTCTATGATTGTGTTGGAAATTTAACACCTTTACTAATTAATGAAGGGCATAAAGGAAGTAAAAGTTCTATTTTTGTGAATCCTGGACTTTAATGTTTTCCTATCTGATTTTGGATACTGCTGCAGAGACATGACAGCTGTTGCTACCTATATACTTTTGTTTTTTAAATGAACCTACAGTAGGTCAACACATACTGCAGTAAATGAGAGCTGAGTTCTGTGTGACTGTCATTGTTGGCGGAACCGGTATGGTGTACAACAACATGCTCAGAATGATAATATGAGGGTGCATTACCACTTTACTAGAGAATCAGCTCCTCTCATGCCTGCACAGTTTAATGATAAAAGAAAAACTAAGAGGTAGCAGACATATTTTATGCTCAAGCAGAGTGCCTCTCCCTGTTAAAGCTGGCAGTGACCACTAGCAACAAGATCTTGTTGGACAATAGTTCAGGTCAGGTCAAGTTTATTTGTAAAGCCATTAATCATGGTTCCAGTGTCAGCAGGTTTCACAAAGCCCACATTATGAAACTATAAATGAAAATAACACTCCCCAACTTTTGACCTGTAATTAGATCAAGGTCAAACCAACAAAACCTTAGTGAGAAAAAATGTAAGAAGAAACCAAACCGCTCACAGACAGTCCTCCGATTTTTAGCATAAACAGAAATGGCTGCTGAGCACAGGAAAACAAAGATGAAATATTGATCAGAAAAGGCAACATAAAATGTGTGACCTGAATGCACTGAGATTGCTTGGATGAAGCATTCAAATGCGTTAGGGGCATCAGCGCCTGCTCAGTCAGAGTCGCTGGCATCATCAAGGTCATCAGAGGAACGGCACCCAGCGCAGGGGTGTAGGCGCTGCCTCAGTCATCGTGGATGACATCTGTCACCAGAGGCTAGAAGGGAGGAAAAGTCAAGAGGATACATACACACAGCAGATGAATTTGGTCTCGTTGTGTCATTCAAGGTTTATACATTAGTAAACACATAACGAACACTTACAGCAGCCTTCTGTCAAACTAGTCAGCCAGTCCAGAGGGGACTGGGTGAGACCAAGGTTCTGAAATAGCAGCAAAAATTAAGAAAAGTGCTTTATTAAAAATGTGAATTCTGAATTTCTTTAGTTGACAGTGTTGCACAGAATTGCTCTATATACCTCATTTTCTCTTATTTCTGTGGAGCTATGAAGGATGAAATAAGACTATATATGTCAAATATACTGAATACCACTGAAAGGTACGTCTGGTTCTACTTCTCCAGCACCATATACTGTTCAAGTAATTACTGTACATTTTTAAAGCATTATTTTTACATGCAGTTTTTGCTGCACTGTTACTGTACTTGAGGTTACTAGTTATTTTGCAGAAGAGGTTTCATATGTAATATTTTATGCACCTGCCTAGTGAAAGACCCAATTATCAATTAATGTTGTCATCCAGCTGAAAGAGGGAGCAATTAAAGTGGCAGAACCACAAGCTATTAAACAAACTTTTCACAGTTTAATGCACAGAAATATGGTCCCGTACTCTCTAGCAAGTAAATTAAAGAACATCCTTTAGAATTTGTGACATGTAAGGATGATCCTTTTTTTGTTTAAAGTTTTTTTTTTTTAACAAAAAAAGCTAGGGATTTTAGCTGTTTTTCCACCACTGGATTACACTCGATACACAAAAATCTTTCTCACAAAGTGTTTTAGAAATGCCTCACCTCTGACTCCTCAGTCAGTAAACACTGGTTTAACCTCCTGTCTCAGAGGATTGTTTGAATAGAAATTGTCCTTCAGTGGATGCTGTAAAACCAGACAGCAACAGGTCAGTTCCTCGGTGGAGCGCAGCCTTGGTTTTGATCAAATGCATCTCCACTGACCTATATTTCATTCTAAAGTTGCTGTTAATACAGTACATCATTGATAATGTAAGAATGGATGACAGATTAGTTCACAGAGAAAGCCATGTTCTCATCTCTGACCCTGTTTGGTCCTGTGTGACATGAATCAAAGTGAAGAAGGATCCAATTTGAAATAAATGAAAATGGTACTGCATATTTTTTCCATATAAAACCAAATAAATTTTAAGAAATCTGTAAATTGTGAAAGTGGACAAGTTTAAGAAAAAAATCTATGATCTATTAAATTTACAAAACTGATGAAATGACAATGAGAGGCTGTGCCGTTTTTCTTCAGTGAGTGTAGGTGAAAGCTGTTTTAATGATGCTTCCTCCCACCTCAGTAATGCATGTCCCATGAGAACTCAAGAAGTGCTTATGGGCTGTTTTTATTATGAAATGGCTGCAAGTGTGGTATTGGGTTTTATTTTATGTAACTAATAAACCACAACCAGGAGGGTTTATTTATTTATTTATTTCAAAATCCATGATGTTTCCTTTCAAAACTGTTGTGTAAACAAAAACCGAAACTCTTATCCAGGCATTTCATATTTTAAAATGATTTTGACTTTGGTCCATTTGTATCTTGCAGTACTGCTGCTTTCACTTTAAAACCGCAACATCTTACAATATCAAAATAAATGAAATCAGAGCCAAAAAACTAACGTATTGTAGCTGTGGAAAATCATCTTATATATCAATACACAAGCAAAATTCAGATTTGTTATTTGAGTAATTTTTTACCAGTCCCTACTAAACACACACAGTCTTTCTCAGTTTACAGTGACCTTTAGAAACATCAGAGCCAAAACACTGAATTGAATCCATAATGTCTGGGCATTAGGCTATCACAAAATAAACTGTTTACTGCTATTTTTATGTGTGATGGTCTAAAAGATGATTTAAAAAAAAGTGTGACAATATTTTTCTGAGAGCTGGTGTCCTTAAACAGTAGGAGTGTGGATTATGAAAGCAAGTAAAACCATCCAGGTGAAGCCAGATAGGAGGGAGCCAGATGCTCAGCACAGTGTAAAGCAGTGGGCCTCTCCTGCTGCCCTCTGGGTTGTCTCATAGTGCTGCATGGGCGCTCCCGGCATGTAATGATGTTTTGTGTGCACTCGTGGCTTCAGTGCATATCACCAGGAAGTAGCAGTGGAGAAGGTGGGTGTAGGAGGTGTGGTTTTTATCTCTCTCTCTCTCTCTCTCTCTGTCTGTGTGTGTGTTAGTGTGTGAAAGACAGGGACAGTGAGAGAACAAGAGATAGCGAAGGGATTGTGTGAGAGAGGAAGTGCTTTGTACTGTGGGAGTTTTCCTCAGGATGTCAAATGCCTGCACTGGAGTGGCGGGGCGATGTGTGTCCACTCCACCAGGTCGACAGCTGAGA